AAAAACTACTGATTAACATTTGTAGTTTTAACTTGAAGCTGCCTCATTTCTTTATCAAGAATAGTTATAACTTAGATTCTTTTCCTGTCAGCCTTGGAAAAGACCACACACACCACACACACACACACACACACACACACACACACACACACACACACAAATACATACCCCTTCTTTCTTTCTAGATGATAAAACTGTCCAAGGCAGTTGGTTTCAGATATTCAGTGTCAGGAGACCGCAGTCCTGCCAGTGTTCCAGCTCAAGAAAGCAACCTGTAATATCTGCAGTAAATGAGAGTGGAGAAGCTGCTATCTTACAGTTTGATTTTCAAACTCAAGATGCATTTAGGGAGCTATACTGGTTAATATGCTGGTTTTGTTTTGTTCTGGAACAGGGTCTCCCTGTGTAGCCCAGGCTGACCTCAAAATTGTAACCCTCTCACATGAGTATTGGGATTATAGGCAGGTGCCACTAACCTGGTAAATAGTTTTACTTAAAAACTGCCTTTTCACTTAAACCAGTCCCATATGGACTTTCATGCTAATTAAAAAATAACTGTCTGTGGGTTTTTAGTTAAATATATTTTTTATATTCCAAATGTTTAAAATGTCCTTTTGTTAAAAGATGGTAAATCTAGACCTAAAAAGTCAGTGAAATTTTAATACTCACTCTAACTTAATCTTTTCCTAAAATTAATTTTTCCTAAGAAAAGCTTTGTAACAAGTAATACTCAGTCTTACTTTTTAATGAATTTGATTTTCTAATTTGTACTTGCATTCAGCAGTTTGTTTCTATATTGTTTCACAGAATGAACCTATTAAAGTACATAAAGGAGAAATGAATATCTACATATCTGAGGTTTAGTAAGTTAGGATCTAAATCACTAAATACCTAACTCTGATTTGTTCAATTGTCATTCCAAAGTCTGCATACATTACTGATTGTCTTGTCTTCATTCTCCTTACTCTACATGACTTTGATAATAACATTTTAGGAAAAACACAAATATTTTCTTATTGGAAAATATTTCATGTTTGTTGAAGGCATATTCACATGGACTATAGCGATCCAATGTGGCTGTACACCGTTATAACTGCCTGTCTTCCTGCCACTATTGCTAAGGGCATGCTATTTAATCCTCAGAATGGCCAGATGAAGGGTAAACTTGTTATTCCTGATAAGGATGTGTAGGTGAGATAACTGATAAGAGTGTTTATCAATTTTGTGACCAACTTGGGGGCATTCAGAGATGTCTCCTTACTGCACTGGTGTTGGAGTGGAACATCGCCAACTACATTCACTGTAGTTGGTAGAGAATTTATCAGTCTCAGGCTAATTGCTTTTAAAAACCAGGCAGATCCTAGAACAAGACAGCAGACTGCACACCTTCTAGAAGGTTGATTCATGTAGTCTGTCTTAATAAGCATCTACTAAGCACCTCCAGCTCTGCAGAAAGGCTACCCAGAGGAGCCCAGTGTGGTCTCTGGTGTCTGTGCTTCTTTTCCTGCCACTTCACATGCTGCACACACTGCACTGCTCACCAGAACACGCTGTTTATACAGCCATGATAGCAATCCAGAGGGGTGTTTCTGTATGCTTGTATTATCCAAGTTTCATTGTCTGTCAGCTAAGGAAGCAGAATTTATCCTTCAAAATTCAGAGACCCTCTTTAGAATCCAAACATTAGACAGACCTTGACCAGTTACCTGCTTTTAACAAAGTTGACACACTTGTTCAGATGGCCATATTTCTTCTTTGTATAAGTTGGCTACAGATATGAATACCAAAGAAGATGTAATGACTACTTTATAATAAAGAAGGCCTAGGATTAGACTACCTCCAATACAATTTGTTATGATAGTACCAAGTCAATGAAATAATAGTAAAGGCATCTATTTCAGTGTTGGGTGAAAATTTCAGAATAAATTAACATTAGGGAAATAATGTCAGAATACAGAACAGAGGTTGTTTGACTACAGTTTACATATTGAAAGACAGATAAGATTGTGTTGAACTAGTTTTTTGTTTGTTTGTTTGTTTAAGGCAAACAAAGTTTAAGTCTCTGAGACTACCCTCTTAACTTGCTGTGTAGCTGAAGATGACCATGACACTCTGATCTTCCACCCCCCCCACCCCCCCCACCCCCGGAGTACTAGAATCATAAGCAGGTATCAGCAAGCCCAGTTTATGTGGTGTTTAGGATTGAACTCAGGGCTTCAAGCATATGCAGCAGGCACTCTCCCAGCTGAGTTCTCTTCAAGAATGAAAATTTGTACTGGCTAAGGGGCTCAGTGCTAACTGCTTTGTCAT